GTGGGGATGATGACTGAAAGTATGGAGATCTGGGCCTGGGAGGGTGTGAGGTCCTGCGAAGTCTGAGTGATAGCAGCATTGGCAGTCCAGGAAATACCCGATTTCCATCTTTCGGCTAAATGACCCTGACCCCAAACCACTCTCATACATGCTGCCTGTTGCCCATGCAGGTGGAGTTCATGAAAAAAGGGGGGGTGGGGGGTGTCAAAATGTCAAAAGAAGGCGGCATTGTGTACGAATTCTAGCAGCTTTAACACAACGTTTTCCGTTCTACATATCACGATGAACGCTCACTGTGTGCCAGGCACTTCCAAGCCTTTTCTTTGGGGGCATCGTCACCTTTGACACTGGTGTCAGTCCCATAGGGTAGGAGCTGTCCCTGTCTCCATTTTGCGGACCAGAAAACGGAATTTAGCAATTTGTCCAAAGTCCCTTCATTTGCTTAAATTGCCCACATGGCTAAAGGGGTGTCAGAGCCAGGACTGGCCCTGAGGCATGGGGTACCGAGGTCTGAGCGCTCAGATTCCAGGGTGCCTTAAAATCACCTAGGGTGCTCCGGATCCCTGGGCCTCGCTCTGACCTACGTGAGACCCGCTAGGGGCGGGGCGGGCATCCCTGTCCTTTGAGATGCTCTTCTGGAACTCGGGTCTGGGTGCCTGGTCTAGGTCACACTGCTGGTGTCGCTTCCAGGGACACTGCACTGGGACTCTGCATCCCTGCTGGTCCTGGTTTGGTCTACACCAAGAAAGAAAGGAACTGGGAGCTTTAACGTATTTTAAAATATTTCTGTTTCTTGGAAGGTTGACATTTTCAGGGGGTGAGGAGCCCAGAGAAACCATGCAGGTTGAAATGTCCAAAGTGAGCCCTAACTGGTTTGGCTCAGTGGATAGAGCGTCAGCCTGCGGACTCAAGGGTCCCAGGTTCGATTCCAGTCAAGGGCATGTACCTTAGTTGTGGGCACATCCCCAGTAGGGAGTGTGCAGGAGGCAGCTGATCAATGTTTCTCTCTCATCAATGTTTCTAACTCTCTATTCCTCTCCCTTCCTCTCTGTAAAAAAAATCAATAAAATATATTTAAAAAAAAAAAAGAAATGTCCAAAGTGAAATCTAATGAAGCTCTCCGCCCCCCACCCCAAGTCTATGAACTTGTTCCCTCTGCCCAGGGAGACCCTGCCACCCTCTTCTCTCCTGGGCGCCCCCCACCCCACCCTTTCCCAGCCCAGCTCTGGTTCACACCCTTTCAAGTGCAGTAGAAGCAACTGGGGGGCTTGTTCCATGGCAGATTCTGGGCTCCCCCATGAAAGGCTCTGCTTGGGTAAGGTTGGCACGAGGCCTGGGGATCTGAGGGTAACTAGGACTGCAGGTGGTCCTTGAACCACATTTTGAAAAGCACTGATGTTGCTTTCAACTGAGGTCTGTTTCTCTCTGGTAGGCGGTGAGCAGCTTGAGGACAGGGCAGAGACTATACCCCTCACGCCCGATACGCTGGATGGGTGACGGGTGGCTGACATGTACTGAGTGCTTCTTTTGCGTCTGTTACTGTTTTAAATACTCTCTGTGGATGATCTCATTTAATTCTCCCAATAACTCTATGAGGTAGGTCGCAATGATTATCCCCACTTTATAGATGAAGAAACCGAGGCTCAGAGAGATTAGGTATCTTACCGATGAGGGGCAGAGCAGGGATCATGAATGGACAAATGGATGAATGAATAAGAGAAATGATGATGTAATAGGTGAGTTTTAGGTTGCACGTTTATAGAGCCATCTGTTGTGCTGGGTGCTGAGAGCCTTAAAAAGCGTGAGGTGGGGGCTCAGGCAGTGGGGGAGGGGCAGGAGCTGGCTGGTCCATACCTTGCAGCCCTCACAAGTGATGCAGCGGTAGTGATAACCGGTTGCCTTGTCCCCACACACGACACACTGCTCGTCTTTGTCCAGGTAACTAGGGATATACCCTGGGAGGGAGGAAGGGAGGCAGGCAGGCAGGCATGGCTTGGGCCCCTAGCAGGGAGGCTCTTACACTTTCCGCATTCCCCAACTTTTCTTTCCTGGCCCATCCCCTAGCCCAGCCCCCCTGAAGGGTAGAATCCTAGGCACATCAGAGGTGATCTTGTCCATCCCCTTTTCTAAGAACATGGAGACTCCCAGAGTTCTGTTTGCTCATTCAGGGCCTTTCTCTCGCTGCCCCCCCCCACCCCAGGGGCAAGGGGGTGCAGGAGAAGCAGCAGCAAATGTCAGCAGCTCATCTCAGGGGGAAGACAGCCCCTCAGCTCTTTAGCCCAGGCCCTGATTTGGGGGTGGGGGAGGGGTCTCAGGCAAGAGGGTTATGGGAGAAGGGAAGAGGTCCTTTCTGACCTAATCCATCTTCAAGGCTGGGGCCCACATCACCCCTCTCACCTTCAGACAAGTCCATCCCACGCCCTCTAGGAGGCGCTCCCCATGGGACACAGGAGCTGCTGGTACACGCCAGGCTCCAGAAGAGCCCTGGTCTGGCGTGGTGGCGTTCAGGGCAGGGAGGAAGGGCACACACAGCCGGGCTCACCTGACATGCTGGTTTTCAGGGAACATTGGCCGTTCTTTCTTTTTCGCTTTCCATCTGGTGACCTGGCACTGGATGGGGGCAAAGTGGGCAGAATCACAGAGCAGTCTTTGGGCAGCCCCCTTCTCATCCAACAGGCTTAGATAACCCCCCAGGCCCGACCCCCTGCCCTTCATGTCCTCATTCTACCTCCCACCCCTAGGTCAGCTGACAAAACTGAGAAGGGTCCAGCTATCTAGACGCTTCAGAGAAAGAGATAAGGGGCTTGGCTGGGGCACAAGCATGTTCTAGGGCACACACACACACACACACACACACACACACACACACACAGCAATATAGAACCTTCAACACCCATAATCTACAATATCCACATATTTAAGCCTTCAGTGCATGAGACATGCAGAAAGAATCCTCAGGACATGCTCAGAGTTATATAACCTTTAGAACACACACACACACACACACACATACATGCAACACAAGCCCACTAGATATGAATCACGATGCAGCCTTCAGTATGAACCCTAGCATGGTCAATAAGCACCAGGATCTACATAACTACACAATTCTTAGGGCGTTCTCCAATGTGTTATATGACCTCTAGGGTATGCCCCTGTGTTACACAACCCTCTGGACAGACACCTAATAATACTCCTCCCTGCCCTCGGTAAACATGTTGTTTGATTTCCAGGTCGTACACACGTGCTACATAACCACAGTGCGGGCAAACACAGAGTGCCCAGCAACTGGAACCCAGAACCAAGAACACGAGCATACGAAAGGGCTTCCAGAGTCACCCTGTCCACGGCATCCATCTCACAGAGCAGCAGACAGAGGCCCCCACCTGTGCTTGGTGACGCCGAGCACTGAAATCAGTCGGGACAAGGACCCTGAGTCCCTCCGTGCAAGGTAGTAGCAACCCACAGCCACTGCACCCATGTCGCCAGCCTCTCCACATACATGTTACATAACCTCGGCACACACGGGTTACATAAGCCTTCCACATGCATGCACGGATTGTATAACCTGCCACACCCACTCTCCGTGTGGCATGTTGCAGGGCCCCTCCCCTGACGCAGCTCCCAACATACTGACACAGTGACCTTGGTCAGGGTCATAGTCAAAGACAGCTCTGTGCGCCACCCTCCCTGGAGACTACCCCTGTCGGATTACTACAGTGTCTGGAAGGTCAGATCTCCCTTCCCGCTCCAGCGGGGGAGGGTGTGGGGGAACTCTGAGCCACCTAGGGCCCCCAGTTGAGCAGCCCGGTTTTCAGCAATTATTAGATTTACAGCCTCTGGGTGCAGTTCCAGGGACAGCCACAAGGTGGCGCACGGACATGGGGGAGGGGAGAATAACGGGTAGGGGTGCAGCTCTGGGGGACTGGGAACCCGGATTCCAGCCTTTCCCTGCTTAGGAGCAGACTCTTCCAGATTCACGAGGTCTGGGCAGGGAAGTACAGAGGTTGCCAGTGAGAACTACGCAGTGACACACCCGATCTTTTTCAGAGCCCCCCAGCCTCTCCACATACATGTTACATAACCTCGGCACACACGGGTTACATAAGCCTTCCACATGCATGCACGGATTGTATAACCTGCCACACCCACTCTCCGTGTGGCATGTTGCAGGGCCCCTCCCCTGACGCAGCTCCCAACATACTGACACAGTGACCTTGGTCAGGGTCATAGTCAAAGACAGCTCTGTGCGCCACCCTCCCTGGAGACTACCCCTGTCGGATTACTACAGTGTCTGGAAGGTCAGATCTCCCTTCCCGCTCCAGCGGGGGAGGGTGTGGGGGAACTCTGAGCCACCTAGGGCCCCAGTTGAGCAGCCCGGTTTTCAGCAATTATTAGATTTACAGCCTCTGGGTGCAGTTCCAGGGACAGCCACAAGGTGGCGCACGGACATGGGGGAGGGGAGAATAACGGGTAGGGGTGCAGCTCTGGGGGACTGGGAACCCGGATTCCAGCCTTTCCCTGCTTAGGAGCAGACTCTTCCAGATTCACGAGGTCTGGGCAGGGAAGTACAGAGGTTGCCAGTGAGAGCTACGCAGTGACACACCCGATCTTTTTCAGAGCCCCCCCGCCCTGGGGTGAGTCTTTGGGGAGGGGAAACTCTAGGTGCCCTACCCAACTGACAGCCCCATCCATTTCCCCCACCCCTCCAGAGACCCAGTCTTGGGCCCCAGGGCTTTGCCTGGCCAGGCTTCTGGCCTCCTGGCTCAGAATCTGGTCTCCTAGGCAACGGCCACTCTGCTCCCCAGAACAACCCATCCCCCACCCTCTCCCTGGCCATAGACACAGGCTGTACCCAGCTCCAGGGGCACCACGCCAACTGGCACAAAGTTCTGTGCCACTCGGAGTTAACGGGAGAGGTAGAGACCCTCTGGGCTCCTCAAGGGTAATGCAGATCACAGGTAGCCATGCCCAGCAATGTGTGTGGGGCTCATGCCTCCTCCACCGGTAAGCAAAACCTTCACAGTTGGCATTCACTCCACTTCCTGGGAGGAGCCCCATGGCAGCGCTCGCCCTTGCCCATGAACAAGGAAGAGCTTGTGGGGCTCCCAAAAGGTTCCAAATATAAGCATGGGCTACCGAGAGTTACTGGTGCATGTGCCCCGAACTGTCACGTCACGTGCACCATGGCTCGTGGGCTGCACACTGGTGGCGATGTGAGCAGGCTGGCAGGGAGAGGAGGCAAATGGCGAGACTGTTTGCATTCCACATGCTCAGGTGAGGGCGGCCGTGGGGACATGGGGGGCGGGGGGAAGCATGTGAGCCTGCCCAGGACTGTCCAGGGAGGGGCCGTGTGCCTGCCTCGTGTAATTTCTCCTTGTCACTTCCCCACTCCAAAATGGGCATCTCTCCTCCAGGTGCCTAATTCCCGTCACATGAACATGACCTCATCTCCTGGGCAAAGGTAAGCAGCAGGTTTGCCGGCCTCGCGTCCATTCCCCTAAAGGCCCAAGCTCGGCTCGCTTTTGCCCAACCAGGTGACCATGCCTGCCGGCTAAGAGTTGGCAAGACCTAGTTGCCGGACCCATTACCTGTTCTCCTCTGGGTCTGACCCACACTCCACCTTGCTTGGCTTCTGTTCCATTCACTTTAATTCCATCCAGGATGCCCTCCAGCACGCCAAGAGACTGGGTGGGCACAGTGGCCCCCCCTGGCACGCCCACAGATTGCCCACCCCCTGCCACCCAGGCTAGGGCACAGCACCCATGGTGCCCGCCTCAGCACTTGGCCTTTCACACCATGCCCTGAGCCCCGAGGGGGGTGGGCGGTGAGATAGGCCAGGGAGTGGCAGGTGGTAGTGTTGGGGGGAAAGCTGGGTCCGTGGGGGAGTCCTGGGCTGGGGGAGTAGCTTCGGAGTCTTGTCCTGTCGAGGTCCCTGCAGAGAGAGGAGAGAAGCAGGGATAAGGTGGCACCATGGTGGAAAGCGGTCCTTTGGTGGCAACATTTTGGGCTCTTTGCGCTCCCAACAAGATGGCGGTGAGCACGGAGGGCAGGCACAGGGAGGGAAGCAGGAGAACCCCTCCGACGGACAGGTTTTAGCAGGCAGAACGGGAGAGTCGTGTCCTAAGCCCCAGACACGGAAAGGGGTGGAGGGAAAGAATGAGATCATCATGTACCATGTCCCAGTCCTCACATTCAATCAAGTATCTGGCCCCTAACAATGTCTAATAAATGCTCTTGTTACCACTCATCTAGCCAAGTTTTTATAAAACGCACCATACTCTAGGGCAAGAGGGGACCAGAGATGAGCAATTTTCAACCCAGCATGGGGGATGGGGGTACTTGTGAAGGAAGGATGGGGTGTGGGAATGGGGGCACCTGAGGGCCGTAATGGAGAGAGATACTGAAGACGGTGGGGAGCGGACCTCCCCTGCTGCTGGCCGACTTGTGACTCCAACCCGGCCTCCCAAGGACTCCAGAGCTGTCCAGGAAGGTCCCAAGTCACACTTCCCAGTCTGAGGACCAGACAGCCCAGTTGGTTTAGCTGAGCTGCCACCCACCAGGATGGCAAGGGGTAAAGAAAGGAAACTAACGCGTGTTAACTTCACAGATGAGGAAACTGAGGCTCATAAAGCTGGGCATTCACTCGAAGTCACCAAGCTAGTGAGCAGGTGGCTCAGGGCTTGAAACCCCGAAGCCTGGCTTGAATGCTTGTCTTGTTCCAATACCTGGGGGCCAGGGCCCTGCCAAGCTGGGCCCACCATTTCCTCCACATGCACCTCTGACCACAGGCTCCCGACCTGAGGTTTACTGTCTGTGCACACAGGCAGGTGTGGGCATGTTTAAGGGGGACAAAGGGTGCAGTTCCCAACACACAAGCTTCATCCAGTAGCTGCTGCCCCAGAGACCTCGCCCCTGGGCCCTCCGCCCCACCCCCAGGAGCTGATAAGGAGCCAGAGTAGGAGGGGAATGTGAGATAAGTCAGGCCATTGGGCAGTGGGGCAGGGCCTCTGCACTCAGGTGAGCCCTCAGTGTAGGGAGTGTGGCAGGAGGACAGAAGGGTGGCCCACTCTGCCTCGGATACCCCCACAGACCAGAACAGGGCACTGGGGGCTGGACAGGAGACTGGGGGGGTTGTGAGCAGGGAGCCTTAGCCCGGAGAGCCGTCAAGAAAGTAGGTCAAGTTTTTCTTGGCTTGTGGAGAAATTCCTGTTATAAATTTATAATGGCGTAGCCAGCCCTGAGGGGTGGAGGTGGGGGGAGAAGTAGGAGTGGGTGGGGATGCCCAGGGACTGGGCACTGGGGCCTGCTGCTCTCAGCCAGAGCAGTGAGGGGTAAGGGGCCAGGGCAGTGGTGGGGTTGGGCTGGACAATAGAGGGCTATTTTCTGTCGCCCGTTTCCACTTCTATCTGTGCCCGACAAGGCTTCCTTGGGTCTGTCTGTCTGCATCTGAATGTCTCTCTCTCTCTCTCTCTCTGGGTGTCTCCCCATCTCCCCCCCAGGCTGTGCCTCGGTGCTTGGCACACCCTGGCTGCAGTGCTGCCCCCGCCTGTCTCCTGCCCACCTGGCACGCTGCCACCACTTGTTTACAGAGGCTGGAAAAATCCACTCGCCAGCAGGAGGCCCAAGTGCCCCTGGGGAGGGGAGGAGGCAGGCGCAGGAGTGGGCATGCTGAGAGAGGGGCAGCCCTGGGGAGCAGGCCCTGGGGGCAGACGAAGAGGGCCAGGGTGTGTGCAAGTGGGTGTGAGCAGCCGTGGGCCAGGCCAGGCGGAGAACACCAGCAGCAGCCACATGCCACGGGCAATTCCTGCCCCAGGCCATAGCTCTGGAGGACCCCTCCTCCCTCACCCCGGCCACTGCCAGTTGCTACAGGGCACACCTGGGGCAGTGCCAACCTAAGCCACCATGTTTATCTTCCCTTCCCCCTCCCCAGCCCAGCCTTAACTCCAAATGTGTCTGGGCACTGCCAAGGGCTTGCACGTGCCCGCTGCGGGAGGGGAAGGCTCTTTCTCTGCCTCGACTCTGCGCTGTGCTGAACGGTGTCCGGGTGCCTGTCAGCGTGACCCAGGCTACCCTGAGCCCCTGGCAGTGGGCAGAGGAGGAAGACACTGTCCTCACGGCTGAAGGCGCCTTGGCCTGGCATCTAGCAAGAAGCCGGGGATTCCTTGTCATCTCTCTAGGGACACACCTGGGTCTCTGAGGCGACACAGAGCACGTAAAGGGCCCAACATTCAGGGAGGCACATACCACGTGAGCCGGTGTTAGCTGTGGGCAGAGAAGGGTCAGTGGGGAAGGGGAGTGGGGCAGGGATACCCACCCTGAAGGGCAGCCCCTCTCCCCTCCTCCTGGAGTCCTTTTTTGGTTCTTTTTCTAACCCGGAGTCCTGCTTAATTCCCCCAGCTCCTTCCTTGCACCGAGGCTCAGTCCCACGGAGGCGGAGGGGCTGGGGCTATGGGGTTCTGAGTCCAGGCTGGACAGTCGGACAGCAAGACCCACCTGTCGGCTGGCCCGGCCACCCACTCCCTCTGTCAGATAAGAGCGGCTGGGTGGCAGCGTGGGCAAGGTGCCCGTGGAGGGGGAAGCGTTTCATTAAGCCTGAGTGCTTCTGCAATGGGGGGCCAGCCGAGCGCCCAATGCGGCATCCGCAGGCACCATGCCAGGTTCCCACTGCCAGACTGTCCCCTCCGCGGCCCTGCGGACCCAAGGAATTTCCCTCAAGGACTGCTGGGGCTGCCAGAGGGGACCCTGTGCCTCCGGAATCTAGCCCCCAGTTCTATACACATTACTCTCCTGGGTGTCTGCTCTTGGCTCTGGCCCCACCTGTCTGGGGCCCCTAAACTTTGTCCTTAATGCTCTAAAGGAAGCCCAGCCCTCCTTGCCAACCACAGAAGGAAAGACACACTCAGAGAGAGGGGGCCCAGAAAAGGGGAGAAAGAGGAGGAAGACTGGGGTGAAAGAGATGATGGGGGGAGAGGGGAAGAAAGATGAGGAGAACAAAGAGCGAGCAGGGATGGGGGAGAGGGGGGACGCTAATGAAGTATAGGGATAGGAAGAAAGGCGGCAATGAGACGAGGTGGGGGATGGGGAGAGAGGGAGGGGGGAGAGGGGCGAGGGAGAGAGGAGGACAGATATGGGGAGGAGAGACAAATGGAGGGGGAGACAAAGAAAGAAAGGTAACAAAGAAAGATGGGGGGGGGGTTTGATTCATGCCCTGCCTAAGTCCCACCCCATGGAGGCTGGGGGAGGGGGAGTAGAAATGGTTTCCACGGTGACAGCTGGTTCTTGGTGGCCTGGCATGTGGGCTATTAATAGTGCCGTGGGTAGGTTCACACCTCCCTCTCCCCTTCCCCTTTGCCTGCTGCTGGGGGGGGGGGGATACTACCCCCACCCCACCCCCCGACTCCTAATGATCTGGCATTGATGTGCTGACCCCATACCATGGGAGTCAAGAGGGTGATGCTAAGGGGCCCAGGTGACTACTGAACCCAGACATACACACAGGCATGCACAGGCAGACACAGGCATCCGTGTGCAGACACTGCCGCCCATGCCAGCGTGGGCCCCCGTGGGCGGCCACGGGCACCAACAGTCCCTGGGAGTCTGGCGAAGGTGGAGGCTGCGGCAGCAACACAAGCCCCCCACATGGAGGGGCAGGTGCCCCGCAGGGGTGGGACCTTGTTTTCCTTTCCCAGGCCCTCCCTGTTCTACTCTCAGGTGTGGACTGAGTAGGATTGCCCCACCCAACTCAGTCCTATCCTAGTGCCAGGAAGGCGGGAAGGAAGGCACTGTTTGGCAGGTGTGAGATGGCAGAGGAGTACACAGACGCGGGCACCAGCTTAAAAAAAGCCCAGGAGGCAGCATTCCTTGGTGGGCTCCCTCTGGGCACCCATGAGATGGGATTCTGGAACCTAAAGGCAGTGACCCTGAAGTCTGATCTCCTAGCCACTGTGGGACCCTGGAGGCTAGAGAGTGGGAAATGGGGGTGGAAGGGATTGGATCAACAAAGGATCCTGTCCCCCAAAAGAATAGAACAGGAAACTCCCCCCTGTAGGTCAGAGACAGAAGGACATAAACAGCAGCCTTAACTTGGGCCAGATGCCCAGTATTAACATCAAAGACTGTGCTCCCCCCAACATAACCTCACCCACCTGCTGCTCCACCCTCCCTCCTCCTAACCCAGCCCAGCTCCCGTCAGGCATCAAGGTGGGTGCCCAGGTCTAGAGGTCACCCCCCTCCCCCATGCCCAGCTCCTCCCCTGCCAATTCATAGAACTTTGTGTCCCCTGACCCAGTTCCCTGCGGGAATGGGAGTGGAAAATGCAAGTAGCCCAGAAAGCAGAGCCGGGAGCACCCCCAGCTGGGCATGGCACATTCTCCCCACCCTCCCCCCAGCAGCCAGGGGTAATTGGAGCTGGGCGCTGGGGCAGCTGAAGGCTGGAGGCATGAGTGTCACGGGGCCAAGGCGCTCGCTGCAGATGGTATCATGGGCACAGGGCTTGGGGTCCTCCCTTCCCCACTCCCCTCTTCCAAGGAGAGGAAGAGGCCGGAGAA